GCGAATATGTATGAACGAAATCATATTTTGAACATTAATGGCATGCAATAAATTTCCAAATCAAAATAATTCCATGAAAAAAGCAAAATTATCTTTTTATTTAAAGTTCTCATCCCCTTAAAAAAACACCCGTTATACTGTAAATAACTCATAAAAGCCATTTACGTTTTCAAAGCTTTTTACTAAATTTTATTTCGCCGATTTGTAACTATGTACAAATGTATGTATGGTTTTATATAAATACATATACAAACATACATACATACATATAAGTATGCAAATCGAGTTGCGTTTTCGTTGCAGCGCATTTTTGTCTGTTAATTTTTTTTTGTCTTTATTTTTATTTTCTCAATTTTGCATATTTGTATTTGAATTTCATATGACGACTTATATTGATTAGCAAAAGGTGAATGAAACTTGGTGAATGCCAACGACTTAGCCAGCTACACCTGTTTGAGGTGTTGGTGCGGTAATTTACGTCGGCGTGAAGCGGCGCTTATATCAACGTGTACAAATATATGTAAGTATGTATGTACATTAGACGGATAAAAAAGAAAAATAGAGTTTTCGGATCTCCGATAAGCCGTGAGATTTCATATGTTTGATACAAAAAAAGGCGCCCCTTCCAAGATGGGCTTGAAAAACTTAAATTTAGAGGTCGAAATTGGTGACAGTGGTCGGAGAGGCCATGTTTTACGCGAAAAAGGCATATTTTAAAACCATTATATTAACTGGAATAAATCTACTCTTATTCAGAAGAGTCTAACGAGCTCAAAACTGATAAGTAGTTTCACTAATATCTGCTGAGCAAGCCGTTGACGTGTCCGTTTAACTCAACGATTTCGATGTGGCGCGTTCTAACAGTTATTTATTGATAACTTTATTAACAATTTTTTTATGGAAACTTGCAGTTATAACAATGACTTCTGGTTTGGTGTTACTTCTTTAACAATGAAAATTATGATTAAATATGAAATATTACATAATAAAAATTTGTTGCTAAATTATCAATAGGACGGCTTATTTTAATTTTTTTTTTTGAAAAGGTATAACTAATGGGTAGGGCTTAGTAGGATTCTTATTTCTTTACCAAAAAGTAGTGCAAAGGGTCCTTTAAGGATCTACTAAAAGAAAAGCCGCGCATACTGGCGCCAAACAGAGTGGCGGCCATTTTTATTTCACTAGGCCAACTTTAGCAGTTGTTCCAAATAACATAAAGTGTATGAAAGCATTAAGGATTAAAGCAGTTCATACTAAATATATATTTAGCACCATATAATTTATAACTACATACTTTCAAAAATCCAAATTTGATATACAATTTTTGACTGACGCGCTAACAACCTAATCAGTGTATTTTCAAAAGGATTATCTTATTTTTAGAGAAATTGGCAGTTGATTTGACATATGAATTTTATGGCATATTCGGTTTTAGCATAACAAAAATACAACCCTTCGCGTAATACATAGCTTTTCCGACCACTGTGCGCTTGTAGCGACCTCTAAATTTAAGTTTTTCAAGTCCATCTTAGAGCAGGCGCCTTCTATTGTACCAAATATATCCGAAATCTCACGGCTTATCGGAGATCAGAAAACTTTTTTTTTTTTAAACAGTCTAATGTACATAGTACATATTATAATATTCGATTATTAACCTTTTCCGAAAACTGGTTTTCGAGTTATTCGAAAAAGGCAATTTGAAAAAAAAATCGGTTCCCCATTTTCAAATTACGAAAAAATACTGATAAACCGGTTTGGCGCAATTGTCCCAATCGAATTCTGTGTAGTCACACAGTCATTTCTTCACATGCCCACTCACATTAGCTAATCTAACATCCCAAATGAAGACAAAATGTAGTCAATGCACTGATTAAGACCGAGTTTGGTAAGCTGCTACAACAACAAAAAAATGTGAAAGGTTTTCGTTCGGTTTTCCTTTAATTAATAAATGCTTGCATTTTTAATAAAATGAATAGGTATTTCGAATTTTTAGATTCTGGCAAATAAAAGAACTAGGTAAAAACCCGGTATTCGGAAAATCAGAATCTCGAAAAACCGCCTAAAAATATTTAAAAAAAATGGTTGAAACCGGTTTGGAAAAACTGAGTCAATCACCCTAGTACATATGTATGTTTTTTGGGTATATGCACACGAGATTTACACACACACACACACATATACCATCATACACGTTAGTATGCGCCTGATCTTTGATATTTTCTCGCCGAACCCAAATTTACAACGCAACTATTTACATACATACATACATACATATTTCCAATTTCGCAAAGTGTAATCAAGTTAATATCAGCCTTCGAGACAAATTCCTGTACTCTTTAATTGATTTCTTGTATAGCAATTGATTTTAGAAAGATGCAAACAAAAAAGCAAAAGCTTAATACTTAGATAATTACTAAGCCCCCTACACTCAACAAGTGTTTATTTGCTTTTGTCTTTCTCATACATATGTATGCATGTATTTATTGTATTGTTAGCTGTGCAACCTGTTTGCTGTGAAGATGGCTGGACGTAGGTACACGTAATGGATTAAAATCTATAGATCGGCGACAAAGTCACCAAAGTAAAATTGGTCCGTATATTTACATACATACATATGTACATATGCACTTACAAGTTGAAATCTTTAATTAACACATGTACGTATTTAAGTTGGTATGCTTATTAAGCTGCATCACCAAAAAAAAGTTTCGCATTTTTTATCGGAGTTATAAAATTTATTATTATTTATATAATATTTCGGAAAATATTAAGATTTAAGTCAGCTAAACCGATTTGAAAATATATATATAGCTCCAAAACTCACATTATCTTCATTCCATTCATGCAATTTGTAATTATTTATATGCGGAGCTTTTAAGCTTCAACTTTCACAAATTTGACTTTAAGGAAACATTGTTTAAAAATTAGTTTAATTTATTAGAAAAAAGAAAATTTTATGAGCTATTTTTAAATGGGTGCAACTCACGTACATAAACTTTAATATTCTTCTGAAAGTGTTAAAATATAATCAATTTTATAATTAAGATGGAAAAACCGTACCGTTTTTTTTTTGTATGGAGAGTGATGCACCATAATGGAAATATGTATATGTATGTAGACTTGTACATGCTTATGCAGAAATACAAATATAAATTGATATAATCATGTAATAAAAGTATTTTTCACGCATACACACTCACTCACTGAAGTGCAATTGCAATAAAATTATTTGAGAAGAGTGGCAAAAGCTGCATGCGAGAGTTTACAATATTCGCTCGCTGATGAGGAATAAAAGCAAAAGTATTTTATGTTTCTGCCTTAAGCGAGAAATGTGAAGATGCAGTGAAAACTTTTTTTCCAACACTCACTGCAAAAACAACTACTGGCGAGTATGTATGTATGTACATCAAAAAAGCACAATCGACAGCCTGTTCTGCATGCTGATTGTATGCAGCCATAACGTATTGCCTTTTGCTAAACAAGCTTTCGATGCTAACTAAATACCATAATATGCTGTAGTATGTGTGCAACGTAATACAGTATGTGCGAAAAGATCGCACCAAGCATTCTTTTATATTAAGTAATTTAAAATTTGTTTTAAAAAAAAGAACCAAAAAGTTAAATTATATTGAACGTCTCACCACCCATAGGCAAAGCTTTCTGCGGAGGCATTACTTTTCATATAAGTTAAATATGTTCTAAATATAAGCTTAATCGGAAAAAGTTTTGGTGGAGCCATTTCTTTTCATCTATGTAAATGCATATAATTTTTAAAGTTTTAAAGGTTTGGGTATCAATTACTGGTCAGGTGGATAGCTTTACAAAAAAATATTTTGGAAATGAATCAAAAAATAAAAATAACAATTACCTTTTGATATCTAAAAAGTAAATTTTTAACTTTACATTGACCATTATACATTATAGACCCTTAATTTTTACTATAATAAAGTGCAAGTTTCAAGTAGCTAAGAGTTCGCGTTGATTTTTAATAATTTTTTTTTTTTTGGGTAAGAACATTTTTAACATGCAGATGTGCTTGAAACGTTAGCGAAAAAAAATTATTAAAAATCAACGCGAACTCTTAGCTACTTGAAACTTGCACTTTGTTATAATAAAATTTAATTATCTGTAAAACTGCACATCCAAAATTTTTCCAAAACTCAAAATTTTATTTTTATTTTAGTGATTTTTTTTTTGGGGGGAAACCTAAAGTTTTTTTAAACTAGTTTTTATTATGTAACCTTTATGAACTGTAACAGAAGAATTGATCTTCTTCAAAATTGACACTTTTTCTGCACTTTGCACTAAAAAATTTAATATAAAAAAACCTCCACGCAAATTTTTCCTTAGCTCTCACTCGCTATATCCGCTCTTCTCTGAGAGTAGTAGCCGGGGTAGTCATCGGACACTGCCTCATGGGCAAGGTTAGGAAGAGGTGTGGATACGCAACCAACGATTTTTGTCGATGCTAAAGACACTACCCTCTCCTCGATCATCGAACATTATCTCTTCCACTGTAACGCCCTAATAAATACGTGTGCTACATAACACGCACTTTGTGGTTAAATTTCTAGGAGAAGGCGCATAGGAAAAAAATGTGCATCCAGCGACACAAGGAAAGCTCAACGTTGAACAGAACACGCATTTCTGGGATGGCTGAGATGTCTGTTTTAGTCTTCCATAGAACTTCAACCAGCCGTTCAGAAGCACCTTCTCAATTAAGGATGCATACAATCATATCTTATTTCCATTTATTTTTACTTTGTGGACTTCAAATCTATCCAGACACAACTAGAACCTGCTCACACATGATTCAACCAGAAATTTACCAACATTCAGATTTCCCTAAGCCACATACGAAAACTATTTTGAAACACTGTTCGCTCAAAATTGTAAAGCCATGAGCCCTCACTCAAAGCTCTCTGCTGAGCAAAGCTACATACTTCTATCTTGCCCCTATAAGCCGATCGCGCCACTCAATAGCTCACCATTTGTGATAGAGTAACTGAATGAAAACAAAGATCTTTTATGAAATTAGTTCTAGTAAGTCTGTGAAAGTGTCAGCGGAACGGCGTACATTTAGCCGAAAAATTATTTAGACTGCAAGTCTGTGACAGTTCCTCGATTAACCGATCTGCAGCCCAAACAAGCAAGCACCCGGTCGACCAATCGTTTGCCGCACGCCGTACGCCGCACGCCACCCACGGTGCACAAGCACGTAGTAAATATAGGCGCTCTCTGTATGGGCGCGCAGCCACACACACGTGCACACACATTCATACATACACACGTATGTGCATGTATGCCAAAACTAAACGCGCTGTGATCGACGCGTTAAGAAACGAAAGTTTTTCATTTTCTTTGCTGTTTTCGGTGTCTACGGACAAACAAATTGACGTATTATCTCGGCGCGTAGTCGTTTTGGCGTTTCGCTTTTCGTTTCATATAGTTCGTAGTTTTTATTGGTTTTGTTGTTGTTGTTGTTGTTTTGTAATTGCTTGCCGTTTTGTGCGCACAGCCACGGACACCCACTTTTGTCTTTTTCCCTCAATTTTTGTGCTTTTTTGGTGTTTCGCCCGCTTATGCGCATCGCGATTTCAGGCGTAGCGCAACGGATTGTACAGCAGTGAAGACGACGCCGACGCCGACGCCGTTGTCGATGTCGATGTCGACGTTTACAGCGCGGTAACTGCGAACGATCGGAGAATTTCTCTAAATAAACGCAACACGCTGGTGCAGTTCAGTAACGCGTAAAAATTTCACTGCAACGGTTTGCTCCGCCAACGGCAACGGATGACGAATAATCTCAAACGAAAACAACTTGTTGAAACTACAATAAAATCTTAAGTACGCGTACTATATTTATGAGCATATAAAAATAGCTCTTGAAACATCTGCGTTTGCTGTGAATTATAATCAGCGCTCAGAATTTGTAAATCTTTACTTTGGAATTTTTTTAGCGAAACTTTGTGAAAAGTGTAAAAACTAAATAGCAGTGATTGCACTGGGTGTGAAGCGACTAGAAGACATATAGACTGGAAGTTGCAAACAAGAAGAAAATAAGTAGACTGGTATTAGCAAAATAGTGTCTGCGAAAAAATCCATAAAGTCCAAACGTCGAAAACTCTGCCACTTGCTAGCTCGTGCACGAATATTCCGTTGCGTATACGTCTAGGAGTGCACACGTCACTACAACAACAAAGCTATATACACAACAACAACAGCAAAGAAAAAAACACCATGTCACATCAATGCAGTTGTGGTCGCGATCTCAACAACAATTACGTCTCGTACACAAGCGCCTATGCCAATGGCAGCTCGAGCCTGGATCGCGACACGAATAGCAGCCTTTCAGGGGGCGGTGTTGGTGGCGGCAGCAAATCGGCCATGTCTGGCAAAACCACACAGCTGACGGCGAAAGTGATGTTCGGCACAGTGGGAGCGATCAAGGATCTGCGCGAGAAGGAGAAGTCACGACATGCGATTACGCGCGCCAGTGATCGACGCAACTGAACGATTGCGCGTTGAAATTTGACGGACTGATGGCGCGTTGGCTACATGGGACGGACGGAGGGGGGGCGGGGGGGGGAGGGACAACCGAAGTGGACATGGAGAAAGGATTTTAAGGGATAATATTAGCTTAGTGGAGCATTGTAATTGTAATTGAAGTGAGACTTGCAAGCGAGAGCAACTTGAGTATAGCAAAGTTGGCGGCAGCACCGAAAGAAGCTGCCACGCGGATGATGAAATGTAAGCTGGTAATTGCTGAAACAGGTGTACATATTGGTATGCAAAGTTACGTACATACATAGTATGTACATATGTGTATGTATGTATGTATGTAAATATACATAAGTGTACGGAGTGGTTTTTCGGGCAGCAACGCGAAATTTCCAGAAATATCTGCTGCAATTGCAATTACATACAGATGCTGTCAGGAAAAAAATTGTAATGTATAGATGTATGTATGTACATATGTACACATTATGTTTATTTACGCATTTTCATGTGCATAAGTTTGTGTATATGTAAATAGCCTTTAACATTCTGATTGGTTTTTTAGAGGGAATGAGTTTTAGTTAATACTAAGTGTTTTCAATATAATATCTAGGATATTTGTGGTTATTTAGAAGATATTTTAACATATTTTAAAATTGAATACTATTTACAGCGTAAGTTTTAAATCTTTAAAGATTTTTCGTTTGTTTGTAAGTTCTTAAATTGTTTCAAGTAAGACAGTTTAAAATGAATAGAAAACGTTTTGTTAGCTTACAGCAACACATTTTTAATATTTCTATTTTCAGTAATGTGCAATAATTCAACTGTAGTTGTAAAAACTAAAACTAATTATTGTATGTACGCTTATACATACATATGTATAAGATTACGATAGTTGATTTGTTTACTTATAAAAAGCACCATGAGCAGGGCTTTAAAATAATGGTAAATTTTAATCGCCTACTTAAGCACACATTCTGCTGTACACATATATATCGCTACATATTTCACCTTCTTTCACTCATATTTTTACGTTTCATATAACTTTTGTATAAGTTAATTAAACTTTTTAACCTGCAGGCAACTTTCTTCAAAAGTAATTTCAAACTGAAACCTTTTGAAATCTCTTTCGTCTGACATTGCGATACATATTTCAATTAGCTGATGGCAACCTTCGTAATTATAATTCAGAAGTAAGGCCTCTTCAAACCCATTTTGATTGATAGCCATCTTTAAATTGTTCATTTAACCATCTTTAAATAGTGTATTTAATATTTTGTTAATGTGTGTTAAAAAGTATAAAGAACTAAATATCGTAAAATGTATTTAAACTCAAAGTTGGTGTTAGTCAAGCCTGCAGATAGGGTCAAAAGAGCGAAGCAATTCCAGTGTTAAAGCCGGTGGCACCTCCTTTTAAAATTTTCAAAAATCTTAAGCCTAATTTCTCTGGCACCCAATCGTCATACATATTTCAAATGCCTAATGCAAATTGAATTCGATTTTTTAAACAGGTGGCAACCCTCCCACGTGCAGTTATGAGCTAATTGATCTGGAAGCTAGCCCAGTTGTCGACTAACATCAAAAATAAAAGAAAATTATTTCATTTTTATTTATTTTTCCTAATAGCGGTCGCCCCTCGGCCGGGAATTGCAAACCTCCGAGTGTATTTCTGCCGTTCGGAGTCGGCGTAAAATTATAGGTCCCTCCACTTTGTGTGACAACATCAAGCTTGGCCAAACACTAAGTACACAATAGTAAGCGCCAATCTATTATTATTGCTAACGCTGGACAATCACACCGAATGTGCTCCGACGTCTCTTCGTCTTCGTGGTTAGGTCAATACGGTGCGGGTGAAGGCGCAGTTGGTTATGATCGCTTAGGCACTGATATTCAAAATATGTATGTCTTCTCTAGCGAAAGGTATACCAAAGAGTCTGACCTATCTAACACCCTCTAAGCGCTTTCGAGTACTGAGTGCGTTCTGCACTTACCTACTCTGTAACTCTATGTCTTGCAGAAGACTAACTGAGTCCAAAGAAGTGGTTAAGGTCTCACAAGCACAGACGATAAGCCAGTCCATTGCGGGAATTTCGAAGTGTTAGTCAGTTTCAGATGACCAAAGCACTCCATGATATGCTTGAAGGTGATCATCCTATTGAGTAGGGGGCTGTTGGTCATTTGGATGCCAAAAAAGAATGAACATAAAGGCACGCGTCAAACTATTTTCAAGATTTCATATGGGACGTGTCGAGATTGTTAGCACCTCCTTAAACATCCGCTGCTATTTTGTTCTCCATCCTTGATCCATGTGTGTCCCATAGTGCACTTAAATGTCTAGGATCAAGGTGTTATAATTTTATGACTTTGCAACGGAAGCAAATGAACATTGTTTCCAGAGAAGCTGTGGTTAATTTCTCTTTCAACTAAGCAGTTTTTCTTTTGTTTATTTATTCTGAATTGTTGAATAGTTGAGCATAAGTTGTATTCAAGTTTGACAGTGGAAAAATGTTTGCAAGGGCCGAGAAAATAGTTTTACTTAACTATTTGTATATAAGAACTAGCCAAGACCAAGTCTGTCCAAGTCGTTTTCTGATTACTGCAGTGCCTCGCCTTACAAATGTATGTATAATTGTAAAGCTGGACTGGCTAAGTGTCCTTTTTTCCTAGTTATGTATGTACTGCGTCGCATATGCCTCTCAAAAGCAAGCCTTACTTAATTTGATTTCGTAAAACTGGTTACAACGCTGGCAATGAAACATCCATGCGTTTTTGAGAGTTAAATGTTATAAATTTTTGTCTTCTTAGATGCTTCGAAAAAAATTCGACGTAGATAAAAAAAAGAATTGTTAATATTTTTGCGAAATTAACTATTTTTTACGCACAACAGTTTAGCTTGAAATTTGATTTCATATCAGTAATATGTATGACAAATGAAGTATTGTCCAGAATCATGAGAGTAATTAATCTGTACTTTACTCATACATATGTATGTCATAAATTAGGGTTTAGTTTTTGTTCTTTGACTAGTTGCCTTTATCTAACGAATAGATAAGTTTGTACTTGGTGAAGAATGTATTTATTTAGTAAGTATGTACACAGAATTATCGTATATGTTATTGTTTTATGAGGAACACAATAATTTTGGCATAATTGTTTTGCTTCGTATAGTTAACCAGCACATACATACATACATATCGACACCTGAGTGGAAGATCGACCTATTTCGGCAGCCAGTTTTGAAAACTCACTGTCTCAGAAAACTTTTCAAGAATGCGTTTTGTTGAAAAACAGCCTATCTCAGAATTCGGTTCAAAAAGCCCTATCTGAGCTGAAAATACATTGAAATGGGCGCTCTTGAAAAGTTTTCTCAGATAGGGCGTTTTCGAACTAAGTAGCTGCCGAGATAGGTCGTTCTTCCACATATATATCTAGTAATTATGTTGTAAAGGGGGCCAGATATCAATAATATCGGCAACATAAACATTTAATGGAATTCCTAAGTTATAGTTTTATTTCACATCTAAATAATTAATAACATTGTATTATATAATATTTTTACTTGCATTATACACATACATATGTACATGCAGCAACTTTATAATACACATGTAGGTGTGTATGTATTTATTTATTGTATAAGCATAGCATGTACGATGTACAATATACATAAGTGTTGTATATACTATTAAGAATTTGTAAAGATATGCAATACCAAGCACAGAGAGCCTTAAAAACCTGATTCCAAAATAAATTTTTAAAATATTTACTTATATAAGACTTCATTCTTATAATTATATAGATACATATACATATATATTTTAGTTAAAAATAAACGGTTTTGTTGCATAAGTTCGAATTTAGTTGTATATAAATATGCATATTAATGTGATTTTATCAACAATAAATTTTTATCAACTTATATACTACATAATTGCTATTCAAATACTTTATCACTAATAAAAAATTTACACAAAAAATTCAAATGCTGATACAGAGAAGTTTTATTACGGACATGCACATACCTACATACATATGTATGTAAGTAAATACACTCGAACTTTATATAGCGCAATTGTATTGAAAATATGTAAAATGAACTTTTCAAATAAAAACTAGAAGCTTTCGAATTACTATCCTGAGCAGTAGTGCACGGATCTACCAACTTTTTAGCTGTATTTCATTTTCTATCATTTTTACCAACAACGGCTAAAAATCTACCGATATTTTTCGGAAAGAGAAAAGAGATTTGCAGAAATGCACTGTATGCATATTTTGTCAACGGACACACCTGAAATAAAATCAAAAAGTTACCTCTGGCCATAACCAATTTAAAAGTGAAATTGCATCTCTATCAGCCGTTTAAATAAATATTTTTAAATTAATACACGACCCGAATCACGGCATCCGTGGTGGAATCAAATTCGAATCGAAAATCTCGAACGCTCGCTTTTTCAATTTAAAATGAATTTGGGAGAGAACAGCTGTTATTTTTGTTTCATTCGATTCGAATCGAGTTTCATTCGATCACGGACAAAAATTACACTAACTACGCATAATTACAGTAAGAACTACACAAATACATCGAAACTAGGGAGGTGCTCATCCGTGTCTGTCATCACCTGGTCGTCGTCGGCCAGTTGAGACAGCCTTGCCTCAATTTTAACCTACTTCTCTTTAATTATTTATTGGAGACGGCTATACACGTACCATCTGTAAGCGAGCCTTTAGGCAATTTTCCTTGATCTTAGTGGTATACCGTTCTGACAACGCACAGAACAAACAAAAGTATCAAGTCCGCAGCTTCACGAAGGGTTCAGAGGAAGATAATTTTTGAAACAACTAAAATACGTAATAAAAAGCTAATATAATTCCGCTACTTTTAGATGCCATCTGATTTCAAATAGCACAGAGCAACATCGTTTGTGGGACGGTTGGATTCCAACTCAGGATGAAAGACCTAGAGCCATTTGGCAAAACCTCCAAATCTTTTTGCATACTCATGTAAAATTTTTTTTTATGGCCATATTAAGCTCGCAATTTTTCGCCTCCAACAGTTACATATTTGCTCGACTAATAAATACATATCTACTTGAATCTCTTTTTGGTACTCTAAATAGCTATATAAATACTAACATTTCAGTTATCATTTTGATACTTGACACCAATGATGCAATCTTTTTTTTGTGTATTTATTGTTGGTCTACTTGAAATTCCAAAAAAAGTTTGAGACGATCTCAAATACTGAAACTGTTTCGTATGTATGTAGGTACATTTAAAAATAAACAAAGAATACATATATGTATGTATAAGCCGTCATTGATTCGCCACTTCGCTGCTTGTTATGTTTGAGTTCTGGTCGCTTAGATAGCGACCCTACAAAGACAGCTGAGTATCATATGAGTGCTCATATTATTATTATCACTAATTACAAAAGTGCTAATCAAAGTATTCATTTTTGTTGGGAAAAATTGAATACTTTCCTATTAATTTTGTCATCAGAAAGTCCTCATCGCCTCACCTCAAGGATAATACCATCTGTGTGTGTATCATCAGAACCAGAAGGCAATTATAAAGAAGAACTATGAGAAAACGAGGGCTTGCTGGTTTTGCGCGAATTATATAAAGCAATTCTTTTTTCTGAAATTTTTTTATGGTAAGTGTTTAGAAACTGTCGGAATATTTAGCTCTTATTCCTGTTACATATGTATGTATGTGATTAGTTATGGGTGTTTATAATACGCATAGCTGTTATTCGACGTTTATTTTGGTTTTATTGGCTGCGTTTCTTTATACATTCCGGATAACCCCATTTCACAGCCGGAATAAACAGAATGCGTTTGAAATATACGTCAACATAAGTATCATCAGGAACGTTCTAAAGAATAAATAAACAAAATAGTTTATTCCAAACATTCATGAATGAATAAAGAAATGCAGCCATTGTGTTTAATATATAGATATGTATGTATGAACATTAGAGTGGTTCAAAAAATTTTGGTTTTTTGAAATTCGTGAACGCTACGTCAAATTATTGTTATTTGTGATAAAAAAGAGACACGTATTTTTTTATTTTGAAAAAAAAAGTTTTTTTTTATTAAATTCTTAAAACGCTGATGTTCTAATCTTTTTATTTTCATGGCATGCTAAAATGCAGCTAACAATTTTGTTTTTACATGTTAAACAACATTTTTAGCTGCACTTTAACATGTCACGAAAATAAAAAAATGAAAAACATCAGCGTTTATATAAAAAGCAACCTGCAAAAATTTTTTTTTCAAAATAAAAAAAATACGCGTATTTTTTTTTAGCACAATAACAATATTTTGATGTAGCGTTTATGAATTTCCAAAAAGAGTGTTTTTTGAACCACTCTAATGTACATATTATATTAGGGTGTCCCAGAATATGAGAACATTTTTTGCGAAAAATACCATACCCTTCAAATTTTTTTCTTTTGACTTAAATTACGTATACATATACATACAAAGTTTTATTGATAAGTATAAGAAAACATTCATCTTTCGACAATATCCACTAACTAGTGTTGCATTTGTAGACCTTTGGGCCCATCTTACTGAAATATGGTTAGGCTTTCGTTTTAGGAAAAAAGAACTTCAATACGAGCTAAGTCCAGCTTTGTACAGCTCCACTATCAATTACCTGGCAGGGAAACTACTCGTATCTCACTTTAATTGTAACTTTGCCAATGCGACTTCTTTCACTTCCATTGGTGCCTGCGGATCCCGCCTTCTTCATTACTAACGTCTGTGACGACTGGGCCTTCACAAGCCGTGCGTATGTATGTATATTGCGTATTTAGAGGTCTGAATAAGTGGGAGTTGAACCTATATTGGGCCATAGTTACTCAGCTTTAGCGATACAGCTAACTGAATCTCTGCATATGCAATGGGAGGTGGTTAAACTCCGATGTCGGGGAGAATGTTGGTAAAAGTGGTGGTTGTCTCTCAGTGAATGTTGCTTAAGACGGGCCACTACAAGGGTGGATCCAAGTGTTTCCAAGAGTTCATAGAGAGCCTAGAAGGTTTCTCTGCTTCCAGCAAGAATAAAGATATATATGTACATATGTTCCTTATCGGCTAGCATTAAGATCTAGCTATGTAGTTGTTGTTCAGGCGATATGCTGGTGTATTTTGGCAGGTTTGCAGCTTCATACACTGCATCTTACTAGTCCCTCGCGAGCAAAAAGACGCAGTGTAATTGAGAACCGACGCAAATTGCCCTGTATGTTGCGAACAAACTTTCATTGTATTTTCCGCAAGTGCTGCCTAAATAAATAAAATAAATTTAAATTAAAAGAAAATTGTTTAACATAAATTTACACAAAGATTAAAAAAAAAAAATCAAAGATAAAAAATTTATACCTCTAAAAATTATTTTCTGAAAATTTCTGGATATTTTAAGACTAGTTGGAGATATTGTACACAAAAATCTAGCCAAAATTTTTTATAAGTTTTCGCTTTTACGATTTTTTAAATTTCGAAATTCTGTAAATTGTTGTATTTATCGAATTCTCTATTTTATTTATTTTCTTCATAACAAATATCATCTGTAGAAAAACCCATAAGCATTTTTGTAACTATAATAAGTTTCGATACATTCAAAAAATAAACTTGCAAAATAACGGCAATTCTGAAAATCAGACTAACATAGGATAAAATGAAATTTTTGCCTTTGGCAGAACTTCTTTATATGACAAAAGAAAAGTTGTGACCAAAATTCATCCAAATAAAAATGGTCACAAGAAAAAATTTACAGGGTATACGTATCGAATTTCGCAAAAAAATACTGGGACGCCCTAATGTACTTACCTACGTACATATGTATGCATTTCTGCTGCGCCACTTCCTCGTGTTGGCACTCGTCGCCTCGTTGGTTGACAGCTTGGAATTCAATAATGTCACCACTTAAAAGTCATTGGTGCCAAAATGTTAAACATTTAAACATTTGCGGCAACTTTTGCATGCAAAGAAGGGATGAAGTGGGTTTATATTTGAATTAGAAATAACCCTGCAGGGAAACCGCCAACTAGTGAATAAAATTTCTAGTTCCGTACTAGATATTTATCGCCAAAAAAGAACCACTCCGATAGCAACTAGATACCCACCAGTTCAAAATCAGCGAAATGTGGTACCTTTAATAACTTATTTTATTTTACTCTTTCCGTTAGAATCTATATCTTATCTGTCGCATTTACAACTAGTTCGGAACTAACGAAGAAGGAATGCCGGCTTGTTTACTTAACATAGATACATATGTGTTTGGTGGCTTTTTCGTTCAAATACGCTTCCATTCTGCACTTCCCAGATGCTTTTTCGAAAAATTATATGTTAACGTACATTTCTTATAATCATGCAAACAAATTTAATTTCAAATTGAAAACGCAGTTATTTGAAAATAATTTAAAATCGCACACACGGAAGAACCGATACTTTTTTCTTTTGTCTGTCGATTTTAGAACTGGTTCGGAACCATAGAATTTAGGACTAGTTCGTAACTATCGAAAAAGGGATGCAGCGGGTGACAATTGACACTTCTTAGGACATCGCCATGTTAAATTCGCCAGCTGTTTGCATGCAAAACATATTTATCGCTTAAAGTATTGGAAGCGCACCAGTTCAGATCTAGAGATTTTTCCCACAGGGATGTAAAAAGTTCGCAGTAAGTGTGAATTTTATGTACTCGTATTAAAGTATTATTTGGCTTTTTAGCATATTCATGTACGTACATAGATACACACATACCTACCTAGAAATATGGAAATGAGTTAACATTTTTTAGCATTTGTATACATTTTTGATTTTCGCAGCGTGAAAAGCGGGAATTTAAGGTGACATTTAAATGCATTTTTGTTATTCATACAAATTATTTGTGTAGTTAGCGCTATAGAAATGTATACAGTGGCCTGAAAAACAAGTAGTATTTAAGCAAAAAATCAAACCGAATTCAATAATAACAATAATAATAAT